ATATATATATATATATATATATATATATATATATATATATATATATACACACACACACACTAAGGTAGTTGTTTAAAGAAGTGAACAAGATTTACCTTGTCAGACAGCAAGGCATATTACTGAAGTCGGAAAATCCAACCTAATAGTGTGGAGGGGTGGTATCTGATTGCATAAAAACTAATTTAAAAGTTTCACATAAGACTCCTTAAGCATACAGTCTCGAAGAATATGTTTGTACAGTGAAAAGCAGTTAGACCTCAAAGAATTCTTGCATATCAGCGAAACAAACATAAAGAGGGCAAACGTTGAAAGAGGGCAAACGTTCCCTCTACTGACTGAGAGATAATCATCCTTCAATAGGCTAAAGCTATGGGAAGATTATAAAGATACAGTCAGGGAAGGACAGATGGCTTGGCAGTACACGGCCTCGGCTGCTCACACGAAGGACCAGGGTTCGGTTCCCAGTACCCACAGGACGACGCACGACTGTGACTTCATTTCCAGGGGCTCCAACGCCCTCTTCTGGCCTCTACAGGCACGATGCACACACACGGCACACAGACCTTACACGCCAGCAAAAAAACCCACACACATAAAAGAGATCAGGTTGATAAAACTGAAGTTTAATTTTATTGATTCAAAGAAGCGGCGTGTGGAAAGGGTGAGGATGCGCTCAGACACTGTCGGCTACAGCTTACGTTTGTAAAGCAGCGTGGTCGCCTGTCATTATTTAAGGTATGCAGAGCCTGTGATCCAGCTTTCCGCGATACTAGGAAAGTCCTCACACAGGTGTTCGCGCACACACCATTTGTCCAGCTTCAGGGGTAAAAAGGGAAAAAAAAAAAAAAGGGGGGGGGGAGAAGCTGAATTTTCACAGCGCACGGGCCAGCAGGCGGGAGGTAAGGGACAGCGGGATCACGGAGGATGCTGGGGAGGGGGAAGAAAGGCGATGTCTGTCCCGGAAATTTCCAGCTCGCAGCGAGGTGCGAAGCGTGGCCAAGCAAGCGCCGGGCCAGGACCTTGGCGAGCTGCTCTCCAGGTGCAGAGCGGGAAAGGGGGAGGCGAGGAGGGAGGAAGCGCCCGCTCGCGAGCGCACGCCCGCCCTCGCCTCCCGCCCTCGCGCCCGCGCCCGCCCTGCCCCTGGCTGCGCACGCGCACCACGCCCTCCCGCCTGCCGGCTCGCGCGCGCGCGCGTCCGTGCCTCCTTCCGTCCGTGCGTCTCCGCGGAGGCTTTTTTTTTTTTCCCCCACCCCTGGGCACGGTCGCTCCCGCCATGGCGGAGATGGCAGAGCTCTGCGAGCTGTACGAGGAGAGCAACGAGCTGCAGATGGACGTGCTGCCCGGCGAGGGCGACGCGGAGGTAGGCCGCGGGGCGCGGGGAGCGGAGGAGGGCCCCATGGAGGAGGAGGAGGAGGAGCCGCCGGCCGCCGCCCGCGCCCCGCGCGGCCCGCTCGCCGACCCGGAGGGCGACGACTCGGACGGCTGGGAGGACGACTACGCGTTCCCGGAGGAGGAGCGCTGGAGCGGCGCGATGCACCGGGTGTCCGCCGCGCTGGAGGAGGCCAACAAGGCGTTCCTGCGGACGGCGCGGCCCGGCGACGCCCTGGACCGAGGGTTCCGGGCGCGCGGCGACAAGAGCCCCTTCGACCAGCTCGCCTTCATCGAGGAGCTGTTCTCGCTCATGGTGGTCAATCGGCTGACCGAGGAGCTCGGCTGTGACGAGATCGTCGACCGGGAGTAAAGGCCGACCGAAAGAGGAGGAAGCTACCTGAGGGGGAGAGAGTCAGCCTTCTGCTATTTGGGGGGTTCGTTCCAGATAGTTCTGTGCGTAAATAAAAAATAAAAATAAAAACGGTTGGTTTTTGTTTCTCGGAGTAGAAGACAGGACAGTGAGTGACCGTGCGTGGGGAAAGGAGGATCGAGGAAGAAGTGTTAAACCTGGGAATCGCGAGGAGAAAAGACCGAGTTGTTTCGGGTTTGGTTCAGCAGAAACCTCTGGCTCGAGACTGTGGTTGCTCGAGATGATTTTCCTTTTGTCGGAGAACTCTCTCGTGTTAAGCTTGTTAAGATGGTTTTGCAGAAGTAAATCATGACTTCCAATACAAGAATCTAATTAAAGAAGAGGGAAAACGCATCCGCAAGATAGCTTTGATTGGAACTGTGAAAGCCTAGTGGAGAAAACGCTCCAAATTCTGTTGTGTGTTTTATGCAAATCAGTTCTCAGAAGCTAAGCTTTGAAATTTAAGATCGAGTGCTCACCAACCCTAAAGGGTAAAGTAAACGCGTGTATAAATGTACACTGTTGTCATGTGTTACAAAAGCTTCTGGAATCCAGACTGCACATGTACCTTCATGCTTTATACTGTGATTTGTAATTTGGAAAAATCCATTGTGATGATTTTTAAAGTAAAGAACAAACAGGATGTCTTTTTAAAGTTTTAAATTCATGCATTAAAGTGTATGGGAAATCCCAAAGACAAACTTTCTAATACCCTTTTATATTAGGGACATTTTGCTGTTTTTTGTTGTTTTTTTTTTTATTATTATTATTTTTAACCTTGACAGATGGTAATACTATAACTGAACTTCATATTGTAAGAACTGTTTGTGAACATTATCAAGTAAGAGGAAACCCTGCCTGTATCTATAAAAGACTTATGAGCTATTATGCTGTCAAACTGAAGGTTTTAAACCATCCCAGAAGTCTACCTGGGTACCTGATACTCAGATTCTCTCTCTCTCTTTCTCCCCATCTCCTCCCTCCCTCCTCCTAATTATGCTTGTTAGTCTTTATGCACCAGCATTGGCGATAATAAACTTTCTTGTTCCGTGTGTTTTGTTTTGTCTAACTGCCTTGCATACATACTTCATGCAAAATCACTATGTCCATCACTGCGCCCATCTTAGCATTTAAACAGCCAGTGCTTGCAGCATAAAATGAGCCAGTTTGAAATACCTGACAAAGAGATGCTAAGTAAATGTAGCGATTTTCAAAAGAAATTGGGCAGCTTGTGAAAGCCTGCTCTGTCAATATGTTCCCCTGTGTTATTTGGTGCTGAGTTTCCTTGAGTGGTAATCACATCGAAGGCTGTGCCAAGAAGAAATGATATATTAGCAGGACTTCCTTGCTAATGCCACGATGGCAATAACAGGACAGCTAGTATAGTGGGATGATTTCCTTGGGTTCTTGTGGGATTGGTTGGTTGGTTTTGCATTCATCTTGTTTGGGAGGCTGGTGAGGTGGTTCAGTGGGTAAAGACATCTGCCCTATGGCTGAGCCCAGTGACTCCAGTTAGATTTCCGGAGAGAGATAAATCCCCCAGGATTGGGCCTGTTGCTACAGACTCACAACAAATTCTGGTCCCTCCTCCTCCAGAGCCCCTGTACGTAATTGTGCCCCAGTTCCATGTGGGTTTTGTTGGTGCTAAAATACATGAAAGGTGGAAGTTAACTGACAGTGGGGACTCTGTTTATGTTACCCATGTTAGACTTTTTGGTAGCACAGCTACAAACATTTCTATGAGTAACCCTCAGCCCTCCTTTTTACTCACCCAATAAATTCACTGGCTCACTAGTTGCACTTGGGATCATTTATTTGATCTGTTATTGGTGTCTATTTGGTGTCTCCCCTGGAAAAGTAATACAATGTCCATAAATTTGAATGTATTTGTGTTTGGAAGTCAAAGTATATCTTGGAAGTTAAGAGGATAAGTCAGGCCTTGGCATTTCTTTGTATCTTTTCTTAAATTTACATTTATTTGTATATATGGGAAGGGTGGATGCCACAGCAAGCAGCGGTCAAAGGATAACCTTCAGGAGTTGGTTCTCTCCTTCCACCATGTGCCTGGGGCTTAGGGCTCAAGCACAGGTCAGCAGGCTTCATGGCAAGCTCATCTGTCCACTCGGGGATCTCCAAGGCAGTCTTTCTGTATTTGTTGAGGCAGGATGTCAATATGTGCCTCTAGCTGTCCTGACCTAGATCAGACTGGCCTCGAATTCTCAGTTCTGCCTCCTGAGTCCTGGGATTAAAGGCATGTGCTACAATGGCCGCAATCTTTATTTATTTATTTATTTATTTATTTATTTAATATATACAAGTGTTCTCTATGTAAACCTGCACGCCAGAAGAGGGCATCAGATCCCAGTACCGATGGCTGTGAGCCCCCATGTGGTTGCTGGGAATTGAACTCAGGACCTCTGGGAGAGCAGCCAGTGCCCTTAACCACGGAGCCATCTCTCCAGCCCACTTGGAGTCTTATAAAGGCATTTTTATTACATTTTAAGGTGTGTGTGTTACACATGCTCACTCATGCCACAGTACCTGTGGAGCTTGGAAGACTTGTCTGAGAGTCTCTAAACAGCCTAGCTAGAGCTACTTGTTCAGGGAGCCCCAGAGATGGAGTTTTGTGAGTCTTCATCCCTGCTGGGTGGCCCCCTCCCTCATGCAGCTACCTTTGACGTCATCCGTGCACCTGTAATAACCCCTCACCCATTTTCCTGTAAGTAGGCTCAATAAACTCACTGCTCCCTGAGCAGGATTTGGGTGGAACTGGCTGGTCTGTCATTGGTGCTTTACATGGGGTGAACAGATGTTTGCTGACTTCTTCCCAGCAAATCACACAACACACCCTGCTATGGTTGGTTAAAGAAGGACAGTGGAGAGAAGAGACAGACCAGGTGATGCCTCACCGCCACATGCACATGCACCACAAAACCATTGTTTCAATACTCCTCAGTTCCCTTTAGCCTCCCCATGGAAAAGGCCATTTAGAAAACAATTAGCTAGACATGGTGGCCTACGAGTTTAATCCCAGCACTTAGGAGGCAGAGACAGGATCTCTGTGAGCTAGCCTAGTCTACATAGCAAGTTCCAGGACAGCCAGGACTACATAGAGGGACACTGTCTCAAAAACAAACAAACAAATAAGTGATTATTAGATTCTGCACATAAGGCTGTCACCGTATCTTCAGCTTTGCCTCTTAAAAACAATGACCAATTTGAGTAGCTCAATGAGGTGGCATCTCTAAACACAGTGACTCCCCGTGGTGCCATATGCAAGTAAAACCACAGCTACGGTTTACACATACAAATGCCTTGAGGTCAGACTATATGAACGGATAAATGAATGAGGCTTTACTTGTGTTGCCTCTTCTTCATTCGCCCCTCAGAGCTATTCACCCATTATACCCTAGGTATCACCTAGGCTTGGATAGACAATCAACACCCAACTAGACAGGACTCTTTAAGTTGTTTCATACTTAACAGTGTCCTTTGAGGTATTTTATACTACTAAATGAGCTGTGGTTTTGAACTTAGAGAAAAAGCAGCAAGAAGTTGTCGGCAATTATGCCTTTGCTCTCTGGAGTGCTGGGTATGTGTCTGAAGATGTCTTGGAGAAAGAAAGATGAGTAAGCAATGTTGAGCACTACGTTGCCAGCATTGTGCTAGGTGATTTACATTTATTGCCTCCCTTGTTCCTCTAAATAACCTTCCAACACAGCACTCAAATCCAAGAAGCCTGGTAGGTCACAGATGAGGAAAACTGAAGCTCAATGCTGAAGGGTAACTGTCACCAAGTGCCAATGCACCTATGAGGTCTCAGACATCTTAAGTGCTTTGTCCTTTCCAGTGAGATTGAACCACCCATGAGTTTTTGGTGAACACCAAACCCTAGAGGAAAAGTTAACTCTTAGCAGCCTCAGTTACTACATATCAGACGCAGAGCAACATTAGGCTCCAACATATGTAAATAAACTGGCATGAGGGCCTTAAACAATGGTCACCATACATATGTAGCCCATACATACATATGTAGTGTCTGAGCATCTTTCACATTTGTTGCAGTAAGGTGGATCTCTAGTGAATAATGTTTGCAGGAAAACCCAGCCAGACGGTAGCATCATAAATCCTGAAAGGAGGAAAATGACGTCCACACTCTTACATCTTAAGAGAGCTTTTTCAACTAAAAGATCCGGAAGGTAACGCTTTCTGCACAAATTTCAGCGAGCTGCTTTTGTTTGGGAGGATTCGCTGAGCCAAACTGCCTCCATCTTCAGAGTGCAGCCGTACCCATGTGCAAAAGATCAGTCAACAAGACTAGTGACATTTCCTCCCAAGAAAGAGGGCCAGGGAGGATCTCAGGGCCCTAAGCAGAGCATTCAGCCACTCCTCCCTCAGTTGAATGCAATTCTGCCCAAATTGCAAGTGACCTCAGCGAGGGGCTAGGACTTGGTTAGTTGGGAAGGACCAGATAGGTCCTCACCTACACAACCATAGCAGAATCATCACCCGCGCTGGGCGCAGACTTTTCAGTGTGACTACTTTAAGGCCATCCATGCTCCTTCCTGTCACCCTTCACCTGTGCTCGGTAAGTGAGCCTAATAAACTCACTAGTTTCCCAGGGTGAACTCTGGCGAAACTGAACCTAAGTCTGTCAGTGGGACCTAATGAGGAAGGAAAGTAAATGTCGCCCAGTCCCCACTCCCAGAGAAAATTTCCATAGCACAAAAACCCAACATTAATCCACCACCATCTCTGCTCTTCATCCTTCATCTGACCCAGTCCAATGACCACATTGGGGTTATTAACTGGCAAACAATATTAATCACCTCCTATTATCCTTGGTTCTTTATACACAGCCAATCAGGTGCAGTGAATGTCTTTGTAAGCAGTGAAAGTCTCCAGCAATATATAGAAAGGCTGTTAGGAATTCTAATTAGTGGTGTGCTTAAATCTTGGGTAAAGTTTTCCACTGTGGCTTATTAAATTCTAAGCATACTCTGACACCTTATTCTCTTTATTATCCACAGACTTCCGGGGGGTGGGGGGAAATTGATATGCTATACTGTAATCATTGGCTGTCTTACCTGTTGGTTGTCAAGGTTCATCAGTGTGAGGCTGCAGGTTGAAACAGTCAGCTTTATAATCGTTCCTGAAAACTGAAGATTGCTTTTGCCAAGAACCGTCGACAGGCACTTAACGGGAGCCTTTAAAAATAACAAAACACCACTATAAGTTACGGATGTGTAGCGCCTCCTCTCTGCTTCATTTCATCTAAACCGAATGAACTGGAATGGCTGAAAGGTCAGACCCCACCAAAGCCTTGGCTCTTCATGTGGCATGCGGATATGGAACTGCATACGTCAGAACCCACACCAACACACACTTCCTAAAACATCTTGGCACAGACCAAAGACAGCGCTGTGCTAGGGACACTGCATTCCTTCATCGAACTTGCAGAGTTTTCTGCCTTCATGAAAAACAGTGGTTTGACTAGAGAAGAGGCTAAAACTCAGTATTTTCCAACTGCCATCCTTAGCATATAGCTATCAAGTAAGTATTCCTCTGTGTTGTATTATATCACAGTACCGGATAGGAAAGAAAACGGTCGTTTGAGTCATTCACTTGAGTTTCATAAAATACCGTTAAATGAATCTCGGCTTGAGACTAGGTTAAACTTTCTAACAACTTCTGAAGCCACTTAGCACAATGTGTTTATATGAAGTGGCATTCTCAGCACTGACTATCACAAAATAAAATATTGACCAAATTTAAAGAATGCATAAGATGGTCTATATCCTGCATTAAATATCCAGCCAAAATTTAATTAGTAACATAAAAACAAATAAGCACATTTTCTCTTTAATACGCAAATTTGCTTTCACCATTAATAAATGTTTTCATAAATTATATGTGCCAGACAACTTTAATTATTTTATTTATTATTATGATTTTATAGATGGGTATGCTTATAATCCCCACACTTGGGAGGCAGAGACAGATAGGTTCCTTAGGTCCCCTGGCCAGCTAGCCTAGCCTACTTGGCAAGTCCAAGGCCAGTGAAAGACCCTGTCTCCTCAGGCAAAAAGGGGTCACAAATGAAAAAAATTAAAGAAGCCCAGGAATAAAATGACCACTTCAATACCATTTTGCCATAGTTAAAAGGACATAAAACAAGAGGCTCATGTAAATATTCACCTTTCGCTTTTTAATGGCTCCGTGGGCCCCAGGGACAACTTCACACAGGCGGCTTATTGCATCCCTAAAGACAGAAACCGTAGAGAATCTTAACATTCTACCTATAGTCTGTGCGTGATCAAGAACAGTGTTCAGAGCGTGTACAGATGTAATGGTATGTCTGACATAATGACTTTCGCTCCGACCCATGCTACAAGGCACTATACCTAATATTTCTGCAGTTCAAACCCAGGAAGACTTAGCAACACTCTAACACTGAAAAAAAAATGTCTTACAAGGAGTCCTGTGATTCGCTTTATTGATCTTTTTTGTCCTTTGGATTTTCAGATTTATTTAATTGTGCCGTTGGTTTCTAACAAGCAGGGGCAAACCATTCTTTCCTTGGAATGCGTTACAATTCTACCCAGAGCAAAATCCTCACCATGACGTTGTGAATGGAGGCCATATTATTTCACCACAAAAGACAATTAAATATGAATGAATCTGACAGGAGAGGGAGTTGATCAGGGTTGAGGAAAGCGCTGGACTTGAAAGTGGTCTCAAATGGAGCCATATTGACTCAGCTGCTGCTGCAGGCCACTGAACTGTCATGTAATTTCACGGAGCAGAAGGAAATCGATATCAAGTTCTCTCCCGTGCTTATTCCCTGACCTCACCATATACCGCACTTCCTGGGGAACATGCACTGCTATTAATAAATGAGAGTCGCTGGCTAATGGAGGTACTGAAGGAGCAGGGACTCTCCTCCCCGGAAAGGCGATGATGATGAGACTTTCTCCTCCAGGGTTGAGCGTTCATACCCGACCAGGCTTTCACTCTGTAGCACCTGCCTGTTTACAGTGCAAAGGGAAAAGATCACTGTTAAAATTAACAATCCGATCAGTACATTCATGCAATGATGTTTGACAGCTCTTGAACATAGTTTATGATAATTCAAGGAAGGGGAGGAGCCATCAGAGCAAGGACTGCAGACACACTTCTAAAAAGGCACAGTTAGGGCAGGTTGGAGCCCAGTGTTCCAGAGGACACTCTGCAGAAGTAAGCAGAACTTCCGGAGATTCCGGGCATCATTTCTATATAGCATGTTCGGGCTCAGAATCTCTGTTTCTCTCTGAGTAAATCAAACTTTTCCCCAAGGCGTTACCTTCTCCTTTTGTAAAGACTGCTGGCATTCATAACTCACCAAAGAACCACTGTTTGGCTTAGTATATTCTCTTGGGAGCCAAATTTATTGTTTTCCCAACATTCCAATCTCTGGAATTAACAGAAAAATAATACAGAAGTTTGCTCTTTCTTGTTTGGTTGTTGTTTGGTAGTTTAGTCGTTTAAATGATCATTTGAATTGATGAGATTCTTATAATTGATCCAAGTTGACCTCTAGTACTGCCAAAATGACTCACCTAGACGCCTCACTGTATTGACAGAAATCAATAGAGTATTATAAGAAATGGAAGACTGTCTACTCCCCAGGAGCCAAAGAGAGTGCCAGGTAAGTGGTTTGAAGTAACAACAGAAGACAGTGACGGATGTTGGTGCTGGTTCACAAAATAATTGCTAATTAGTGTTAGAGATTGATGCTTTTATGTAGTACCTTGCAGTTTCACAAAGGGCTTTTCCAACCACTCTGATTCTCATATACTGACAGTATCTTCCAGTGAAATTAGCTTCGTGGGTCTGACTTGAAGGGAACGGCACCTCTCAGAAGGGGAAGTGTCCTGGCAGAGTGGGCCCTGGGATCACAGACACAGGAGCAAAGACCAGAAATCATCCAGAACTGGATGAAGGGAGTTCAAGCACGTGACAGTGCCGGGGCCTGCAGAGGGGAACAGCAGCGAACAAGCTGGGAGACGGATTAACAGCTCAAAACGCTTTGTTAAGGGCCAGCGAGCAAATGCATCAGTGTTCCGTTCCAACAAAAAGCAGCCTGAGACAATATATAAACAAGAGAACACTGCTGTGCGCCAAATTTTATTTTCAGGAATAAAGGTCTGGCCAGAGCTGGCTGGTGGGCCATAGTAGCCATCCTCTGAATTAAACCACTCACAGAACAGAAAAATTTAGTCTTAAAAAAACAAAGCAGGGCATGTTAGCTTCATACCCTAGCACTCAGGGGACGAGACAGGAGGATCTTCAATTCTAGGCCAGCCTGAGCCACGTACACTGTCTCAAATAAGGAAAGAAAACAAAATGGAAAAAAATGTTCATATTCATTATGGTTTTAAATTTGAAAATTAAGCAAACTATAAGATATGTCATGCACATTTAAATTGAAAAAAAAAAACAGAAAATACAAAATCGGTTTTCATGAAAATGACAAATTCTAGTCATGTATTTACCCATTGTTAGGGAGCCACCAATTCTAAGGAGTAATTTGGTAAAGTCTGACAAATACTGATAAGGCCAAGCTTTGTGCGCTGAGTTCAATCTCTGGGGCCCGCACTGTGGAAGTAGAGAACTGACCCCATCAAGTTGCTCTCTGACCTCCATAAGTACACTATGGTATTCGTGCCTGTTGGGCTGACCTTCCTTCTCATCTCTGCATCTTCAATTGTCGATTACTGTACTGGCAGAGAGCTAGGTGCTGGCAGGATTTTGGTATTGTCATTTCTATTTGCCAATGCTTGTCCTTTCACAGCTGTCCAAAACATGAAGGTCAGGCAGCCCTCTATGCCTTAAGGCAATCAAAGAGATGGTTCTTACTGTTAATTGGTTGTAATAAAGAGCTGATGGGCCAATATCTGGGGCAGGAAGTATGAGGACAGGACTTCCAGGCAGAGAGAGGGACACAGGGAGATGCAAGTAGAAGCAAAGTCACGGGAGAGAACAGAAAAGCCAGGAACAGGAGCAGGAGGCAAAGGGCTAGCCACGTGGCTGGGATGTAGGCCGGGAAGCCAGGCCGGGAAGCCGGGTTAAGATAGAAGCTATCTTCTTCTTCTGATGTCCATCCTCTTTGCCTTTCGGGATGGGGATTGAGCATTATTACCAGAGTCCTCTCTCTTGATTAGTTTCTTTAGGTGTACAGATTTAGTAGGTCTATCCTATATTATATGTCTATATGAGTGAGTATATACCGTGTGTATCTTTCTGCTTCTGAGATAGATAGCTCGCTCAGGATAATCTTTTCCAGTTCCCACCATTTACCTGCAAATTTCATGATTTCCTTGTATTTTATTAGTTAGGAGCCTCCCACAGAGGGCCTCTGAAAGGCTCTGCCCTGCAGACTATCAAAGCAGACACTGAGACTTATGGCCAACTGTTGGGCAGAGAGCATGGAATCTTATGAAAGAAGTGGGAAATAGTAAGATCTGGAAAGGACAGGAGCTCCATAAGGAGAGCAACAGAACCAAAAAAATCTGAGCACAGGGGTCTTTCCTGAGACTCATACTCCAACCAAGTACTATGCATGGAGATAACCTAGAACCCCTGCACAGATGTAGCCCATGGCAGTTCAGTATCCAAGTGGGTTCCATAGTAATGGGAACAGGGACTGCCTCTGACATGAACTGATTGGCCTGCTCTTTGATCACCTCCTCCTGAGGGGGGAGCAGCCTTACCAGGCCACAGGAGATGACAATGTAGCCACTCCTGATATGATCTGATAGACTAAGATCAGAAGGAAGGAGAGAAGGACCTCCCCTATCAGCAGACTTGGAGAGGGGCATGTGTGGAGAAGGGGGAGGGAAGGCCGGCTTGGGAGGGGAGGCGGGAGGGGTTTATGGGGGGATACAAAGTGAATAAAGTGTAATTAATAAAATTTTTTTAAAAAAGATAGAAGCTATCTGAGACGCTATCCCAAAGAAAGGCCGAAAGCTTTAAACTACACAGGAGTCTCGTGTCTTAAACAGCTAGTGGGTCACAAAAGTCCGGTAATACATGCCCACATACACATACACAATTAATAAATGCAACTGTAAAACATTTTAAAATAACAATATAAAGTTTACCAAGAATTTGATGAGAGGGCACGGGACTGAACTAGTTGAATACTATGTAGCAGAAACACTTTAATTTTAGAGCAAAAATACTGACCTACAATCAAGTGATAGATAAAATGGAAAAGGCTAAATACAGTGATTTGGGATGTTAGGTATGTGAACTATAAAAACACCACAAGGAGGAGATCTATATAAAGCAAGTGGGAACAGGGTAGACATTCCAGTTTGCCATGCTGGTTATGTGCACCCTGACAATAAGCACCACAGGAAGCACTCATGAAGCCATGTGCCTGCATTTCCAGCCTAAGAACCCAGCGCTGGGCCACTAAGACAGAAAAAAAAAAAAAAGGTGGGAGTTCGCAGCCAGCCTCGGCTACATAGCAACATTGTTTCCAAAACACCAAACAAGCTCACAACAACACTAACTTAGGTTGTTGGTGTTTGTGCCTTATGGTTTATTCTCTTTCTTTTAAATATTTATTATTGATTTTATTTTTTATGGGTATGTGTGTGCCTGTGTGTATGTTTGCATATACACCATGTATATGCAGATGTCCACAGAAGTCAGAAGAAAGATGGCATCAGATCCCCTGGAATGGAGTTACAGGCAGTTGTGAGCCGCCATGTAGGTGCTGGGAATGGAACATAGGTCTTCTGAGGAAGCAGTAAGTGCTCTTGGGCCATCTCTCTAACGCTGGATTACCATTTCTTGTTTCTCACTCTAGTGTGTTTAGATATAAAGAATATAAATAATGTTTTACTTCTGTGTGAAATTGATTGGCAATCTTTAAAAAAAAATTTATTTTTCTGTGCTTGTTACTTGTTTTGATTGGGTTTTGCTGCTTTTGGAGACAAGGTTGCCCTGTACAGCTCAGCCTGACCCTGAATTCCTGACTCCACAGCATGCTGGGATTAATGGACTGACTCCTGTGGCCAGGGTTGCTTTGCTGGTCACTCTGTGATCTGGCCTCTGAGTACATCAGCAACTTCATGAAATCTTACCAATGCCATTTCAAAGAAAGCTGTGAAGAAGAATCTAAACTTGAACAAATTCAAATTTTACCATCTTCCAATAAGGCAGAAAATGATGCCAGAGACAGGGAGCAAATTCAGACCCACACCTGGCAGA